GGGCTGGAGAGATGGTTCAGTAGCTAAGAGCACTGGCTGCTTGTCCAGAGGACCTGGTTCAATTCCCAGCACCACATGGCAGTTCACAACACTCCAGTTCCAGGGGACCTGACACCCTCACATTGTGAAGGCCTAGACTTAGCTTTACAGGCTCCATTTTAGGGAAAGAGCCACCATCTCAGACCACCTGCTGTACTCAGTTCCAGGAAGGACCTCAGGAATGTGCCATGACAACTCGAACGGATACAGAGCAGTGTCTTCCTGCAGACATCCTGTCTGTGGTTTATGGCCCTTGAAGATATTTAGATAATTCCGCTAAGCAGGCCAGATAATCTGTTCAGCAGGTTGTGGTTCCCCGTCAAAAGTCTAACCCAAAGGTTTCAAATGTGGTTTCATGCCCAAAGTCTAGACCAATAGTTTCAAAAAGTCACCTTGCCCCATATCCCTTCTACCCAATCCCAAGTTGCCAATTCCCGGCTTGTGGTTTTTTCCCTATAAAAACTCTCTACACCTGGGCTCATGGCCGTCACCACATTTCCTTCCATCTGCCATGCAGTGGCCCAGGTTGAACCTGAATAAAAGGACCCTTATGTGCTTGCGTCGGAAACCGGCTCCTTGGTGGTCTCTGCGGGTTTCTCGAAATGGGTACAACAACATAGACATACATGCAGGCAAAACACCAATGCACATAAAATAAAAATAAAATCATTTTAAAAAGATGTTTGTAGACAGAGAGAGAAAGAGAGACAATAGACACATCTAACAGAAGGATGTACATCAAGTATTAGTTCTCATTGTGTCTGGTTAGTATTCTCTAAAAACAAAGATTTATTATTTTTTATTTATGTTTATGTGTGTGAGCTTGTGTGGGGCCAGAAGATGGCATCAAATCACTTGAAACTGGAGTTACAGGCAGTTAAGGACTGCCCCGTGGATGCCAAAACTGAACCCACAACTTCTGCGAGAGCAGTAAGCGCCCTCAGCTGCTGAGCTATCGGTGGTCTTTTTGTTCAACTGAATTTTCTAATATCCCATTAAAAAAAAAAAAAGAAAAGAAAAACTAGTTTTGCTTTAAAAATAATTTTAAGTACTTCGAAAGTCAAAAGTATTATGTCCTATGCCTCTGTCAATCAAAGGTGCTATTCTTTCAGTAACTGATTGCCACTAGCTACAGTAAGAGCAAAGGTGATCATAGGAACTAACTACTATCAAGAATTTGTTTGGTTTGGTTTGATTTTTGAGACAGGGTTTCTCTGTGTAGGCCTGGCTGTCTTGGAACTAGCTCTGTCGACCAGGTTGTCCTCTAAGTCAGAGATATACCTGCCTCTGCCTCCCGAGTGCTGGGATTAAAGGTGTGTGCCACCACCGCTGGCAGAACTCTAGGCTTTTAAATGTATTAGAATACTTTTAGATGTATACTGTATGTTATAAGTTATGGTTATAATAAGGAAATATACTGTTGGGAGGGGGACATACGATCAAAATATTTCATAAAATTCTTAAAGAATTAATAAATTTTTTAAAAAGAAAACATAGTGTTGATAATAGATGAAACATTAAAAATGAGGAGAAAGAAAAAATTAGAGTAAGTCTAGTGGTATTAGACTGGAATCCCAAGAATTCACATTAAACATCCATGTGTGTACAAATACACACATACATATACATTATGTACATATATATGTGTGTGTGTGTGTGTGTGTGTGTGTGTGTGTGTGTGTGTGTGCATGGTGGCTCACACTTGTAACCCTAACACTGGAGAGGTGGAAACCCACAGATCCCAGGGTTCACTGGGCAGCCAACCTTGCCTACTTCTCAAGATCCAGGCAAGAGAACCTATAAAAAACAGGGGGTGGGACAAACGCCCAAGGAACGACACTGGAGACTGTTCTCCACGTGAACGCGGACACACGTGCCCACTGCATGTGCATCCACACACAGATGAATACACACACATAGGGACACAAGAGCCGACCTTAAAGATACCCTATTGCCAAAACTGGTAAACTTTGATGAACAAAATCATCAACGTTATAAAAATAATGAAATGAGTATCTGACAATAACTTGATATAAATAAGTGGAAGAACTTGGGAGGCAGAGGCAGGAGGATCTCTGTGAGTTCGAGGCCAGCCTGGACTACAGAGTGAGTTCCAGGAAAGGCGCAAAGCTATACAGAAAAACCCTGTCTGGGGGGGCGGGGGGATAAGTGGAAGAAGGACAGCTTTCCTTACAGAAAAATTTCCATTAAGAAATGAAGAAGAGGGCTGGAGAAATGGCTCAGTGGTTAAGAGCACTGCTGCTCTTCCAGAGGTCCTCAGTTCAATTCCCAGCAACCACATGATGGCTCACAACCATCTATAAAAGGATATGATGCCCTCTTCTGGTATGCAGAACACTCATATATAAGTAAATTCTAAAGAAAAAAAAAAAAAAAGAAGAAATAAGGAAGATATATACCATACTTGATCTTGGCCAAAAGGCAATGAATAAAGGAAATAGAAAATCACCAAAAGAACTGAACCAAGATTCACTAGTAGATGCCAAAATACTGAGCAAAGATATAACACTACATTGCATGAAGTTGCAGTCTGCTCCAAGACAACACCTATTATTAATCATAAGGAGAAAATGGGTAACCATACAGGGGTGTAAGCAAGAGATACTGCCTTAACCAATCAGGCTGAGATCATCAACAGTAGGACACACACACACACACGTTCAGGTTGAGGAATATTCTACACAAATTATTATCGAGTACTTTTCCAAAGTGTCATGGCTATAAAAGCAAAAAGACTAAAGAAATATGATAGACAAGGAAATTAGGAAGGCATAACAAATAAACACAATGGAGAATCTTGGAATGGATCTATAAGTTAAAGTCTTAGATCAAGGCTAATTTCTTATTTTTGACAATCATACTATCATTATATATTAACATCAGAAGAAACTGAATGAATAGTACCCAGTTCTGTCCAATTTCTATAAATTTTCTGAGTCAAAAGTTATTTAGAAATAAAAAATGTCATACATTTACAGAGCAGAGTATGGGAAAGGAGTGTGGCTTAATGGAAGAGTACCTCCTCGACACTTTCAAAGCTCTGGGTTCAACCCTCAACACAGTAAAACTGGTGAAGGACAAAGGAGGTCAGGGAAGAGAATATGACAGCAATGGGTTCATTCACTATTACGGTTATGTGGCCAGGCTAGCCTCAAACTTCTGAGCTCAAGAGACCTTCCTGGGCCAGGTGAGGTGTCAAATACCTTTAATCCTGCACATGGGAGGCAGAGACAGTCTCCGTGAAGTTGGGGCCAGCCTATCTACATAGAGAGCTCCAAGCCAGCCAGGGCTACACAGTGAGACTCTCTCCAAAGAAAAGAAAAAGAGCAAGAGGGCAGATTATTACAAAGAAATACTGGAACTCTCCCCTTAATCTCTCTCAAGTTCCTGTCTCCAGCCTGCTTCCTCCCACTTCCTGTCACGAGATGAAGCTGTACAAGGCTCTCAACAGAAGTTGAACAAATGCCAACAGCTCTCCCATGTCATGAATAAAAATACGATTTTCTTTTACTCACTGAACCATCTCACTAGCCCAACACTTCTTTACGAATTACCAGTCTCGAGTACGCTGATACAACAACAGGAAGTGAACTGAATGAACTGAGAGTCACTAAATACGGCAGTATCTGATCTGATACAACAACAGGAAGTGAACTGAATGAACTGAGAGTCACTAAATACGGCAGTATCTGATCTGATACAACAACAGGAAGTGAACTGAATGAACCGAGAGTCACTAGATACGGCAGTATCTGATCTGGCAATACAAAAACTTAAAAAAAGTATCTCGATCATTCACCCAACTTAATATTTTTTTTTTTTTTTTTTTTTTTTTTTGGTTTTTCGAGATAGGGTTTCTCTGTGTAGCTTTGCGCCTTTCCTGGAACTCACTTGGTAGCCCAGGCTGGCCTCGAACTCACAGAGATCCGCCTGGCTCTGCCTCCCGAGTGCTGGGATTAAAGGCGTGCGCCACCACCGCCCGGCTCACCCAACTTAATTTAAATCCAACATTTGGGTGGAGAAAGCACCCCGTGAAGATGTGAAGAAAGCCAATGAAAACCAATACTGAAAGCAATGTTCCGTACATGGTCATCTAAAGCACTCTTGAATTCCTCTATCACCCTCCTTTGCCAAATCCTGCAAATGCGTAACATAAAAATGTTCCTAATTAAAGGTAAGCATGCAGCTGGCATGGCAGCACATGCCTTTATTTCCAGCACTTGGGAGGCAGCAGATCTCTGTGAGCTTGAGGCAACCTAGACTACATGGTGAGCACTAGGACAGCCAGAGCTATACAGTAAGACCCTGTCTCAAAAAAAAAAAAAAAAGATACAAGATGTTTCCAGTCACATATAAATAAAAAAGCACATATGAAAAAAAAAGTTATTTAATAAATAAAATATTATATAAATTAGGTTACTACATTTAAATCACAAAATGTGGGATGGGGATCATCTTTTTTAAGATGATTTTAAAAACTCATATAAGTAAAAATTAAAATTGTTTTGCTAGTTTAGGCTTATAGAATAAATGAATAAAAAAATTCTTTTTTTTTTTGTTGTTTTTTTGTTTTTCGAGACAGGGTTTTTCTGTGTCACCCTGTCTGTCCTGGATCTCTCACTCTGTAGACCAGGCTGGCCTCTAACTCAGTGAGATCCATCTGCCTCTGCTTCCCGAGTGCTGGGATTAAAGGCCTGCACCACCACTGGCTAGCTCCTTTTAGTATAATTAAAATTATACTGTAAAACTTTAGTCAGTATTTTAGGAAAACTCCCAACACTCAAGAGGCAGAGGCAGGCAGATCTCATTGAGTTTGAGGCCAGCCTGGTCTACAGAGTTAGTTCCAGGACATCCCAGACTGTTACACATAGAAACTCTATCTCAAAAAAAAAAAAATTATATATATGTAATTTCAAAGATGACAAACACATAACACATACCTCCTGTAAATCAGCTGGTGATGACTTTTTTCTTTTTCCCTCTGTGACAATTTCTACAAAAACCAAAGACATAATAAAAATCATTATTTAACATCTAAATGACATAATTTAATGAACAGAATCTTTTCATATCTATCCCTTATTTAAAATTAAAATACCCTGAGGTTTTACAGACACTAAAGGGCTGTACCTAAAGACCTAAAAGTTTGTCATGTGTCAGTGCTACAGACTGTCCCCAATGTCTCCAGTAAGCCAATGCACGAGGACAATTTAAAAAGAAAGAACCAGTCCAGCAGTGGTGGGGCCTGTCTTTAATCCCAGCACTCTGGAAGCAGAGGCTATGGATCTCTATAAATTGGAGGCCAGCCTGGTCTACAAAGAAGTTCCAGGACAGCCAGAGCAGTGTCATAGAGAAATCCTGTCTCAAAAAAAACAAAAAAGAAAGAACTAAACAGAAATGTCTTTATAAAAGCCTCATACCCATGGTAGAATCAGATGATTGGGTAAACTCTCACGATGGAGGGCAGAAGTGAGATGATCTAGAAGTTGGCATTGTCCTACAAAAGCACTTCCTTCCAGTTCTATCTCAAACGCACATGCTGCACAAATGGGAAGTGCCTTCACTCTTTACTCATTTTCCAGACTTTGTGTGGGTTTTCCTTGTATGAATTCTCTCATTCAATCGCAAATATTTACTTAATGGCTATCATGTGCTCCTCATACTGATAAGCAATGAATATAAGTAACACTGAGCAAATCAGACACCATCCAAGACTTCTTAGCAATTATAACCACAGTATGGTGGAACACACCTGCAATCCTAGCACTCAGTAGAAAGAGACAGATGGATCTCTGTGAGTTCAAGGTTAGCCTAGTGGTCTACATAGCAAGTTCCAAGGGAGCCAAGGCTAATGGTGAGATCCTGTTCAAAAATGTTGTAACCTACTGAATTATATAGCAGATTTCATAATAAAAATAAATGGTAGTATACACATACACATGTAACACCAAGTCATCTACTTGTGGCTTATTACTATAGTTCAGGAAGAAAGGGATGATTTTTGCCAATAAATAATAGTGAAGCAATTTTTTGTGTTTGTATGTTTGAGTACATGTATGTGGACATGTGGGGTGTTTGCATGCATGTATGCAGGTTGCATACATCCTTGCATATGTAGGGAAAACAGGAGGACATCAGGTGTTCTGTTTACCGCTCTCTGCCTTATTCCTTTCAAGCTAGGTCTCTCACCAGACCTGGAATGGGGCCAGCAGCCAATGAGCCCGATCTTCCAGTCTCTATCCACAACAGCACTAGGATTGCAGGCTACACTAGGCTTTCTACGATGATGTTGGAGATCTGAACTAAAATCCTTACGTTTACTTAGTAAGCATCACCCCAGACCCAGGGAAGCAATGTGATGACCAAATGGAACTTAAAAAACAAACCTTGATCCCTATACCTCAGACCATATACAAAAACTAATTTCAAATGGGTCATATCTTTAAATGTCAAAGATAAAGCAAGGTTTATACAATAAAAACTAGAATATCTTCACAGCCTTGGAGGAGGCAAAGATTTCTCAAGTAGGACACAAGTATTACCATAAATTAAAAGATCAATAAAGTGGGCTTTATCTAAATTAAAATTTCAGTTTAGCTGAACTCATCATTATGAGAGTAGAGAGCAAAGTCTCATACTAGAACATAAGCTCTAATCCATTATTTGTCAAAGAACTCATAACCAGTGGACATAAGGAACTCCCTGGGCTGAGGTATGTACTTGTGGTAGAACACATGCTTAGCAAGCCAGGGGAAGGCAGGAGAGAAGAGAGGGAGAAAAAGGAATAAATACAATAAAATTCAATCTTTAAATTGGACAAAGGCCTTGAGTAAGCATACACACACACACACACACACACAATCAAGACATAATCATTAAGGAAATGACAGCTAAAATGACAATGAAATTCATAGCCCTTGCAATAAGTAAAATATAAAAGACTAACATTACCAAATATTGGTGAGAGACTAATACTCTGCCGGTAAAAGTTAAATGAGTGTATCGGCTTTGCCAGTGTCTGTTAGATATTTACCTGCCTGCACTCAGTACCTAACCATTATACTTCTAAATAAATAACCAAGAGAAATGAGAATGTTCATGCTATCTTTGTCCTTAATAACCAAAAACTAGAAATAACTCAAATTATCTGCCACTAGTAATGTATAAACATATTTGTACCAAGGAAAGCTGCAGAGTAATAAAAAGCAATGAATTACTTCTAAGCACCATATGGATACATCTCACAGACATTCTGTTCCACAGAAATCAGATGCACAACTGTGAAACTTGAAAGTTAAAACAAATCTATGATAATACGATTTGAACAACGGAGGGTATAGAGGACAAAAGGAATATTAACTACAAAGGGTGCAAGCTAAGTCTGATAAGATGTTAAAAGTGTTCTGTACCTTGAGCTACATGGTGACTATACAAATAAAGGCATGCAAATACAAAGAATCTTATAACTAAAGCTTTATCCCTACAGACCAGCTTTCATAGTGCTGGAAGGTGCTGTGCTCACTACTGGAAAAGGAAACCAATAACCGTACCCACCAATCAGCTCTGTGAGCTAAGTAATGACTAGCCCGATAAGACATGCCCACTGGTGTAACAGTGACAGGAATGCCATGGGAGCAACTTTCTGATTGGATTTAAGGGCCTCTCCACAAGATGGAACCCATACCTGGACACCGTTATCTGTGCCAAGACCCTGAGGTCAGACAGTTCACAGGACCCAGGGGAGAACCTACTACTACTATTTTGCTAAAGGGACATAGTGGTAAACCACTCCTGACTTCTCATTACACTCATGGAAAGGACATCTCTCAGTCCTCATTATAGAAGCTTCTATTTGCAGTGGATGATGATTAACACAGAGCCCCACAACCGGTCAAGGTACAGAGAAAACAACCCATGCAAGTGCAAGCCAGACACAGATCCCAGCATGGAAGAGAGAGGTGATCAGGAAGTCACATTCCTAGCTGAGGAACTAGTGACAACTGACAGCTGATGGGAGAGGGAGGGTCAGTTTTCTTTAAAGGTGTGACCAGTGGTAGGGGGAGGACCCCACACCCAAGACTATTTGGGCAACACCAACTGTACTCCATGGACAAAGGAAGAGGAACAGCAGGAAAAAAATTATGTGGGTAGAGATGGGCCCAAGAGGTGGGAGGCTGGAGGGCAACTTTGTGAAGCCTATCTTTAAGTGGACTCAAGATTGACCAAAGTCTCCTGGCTTGCATGACATGGTGGTATACACCTTTAATACCAGCACTTGGGAGGCAGATCTCTGTGAGTTCAAGGCCAGCCTCATCTACACAGCTAGGATAGCCAGAACTACATAGTGAGACCTGTCTCAAAATAACAACAAAAGCTCCAAAATACAAAGAGGAGGAATCAGCTCTGGTTTTGTTTGTTTTATTCTGGGTGTAAGAGTGTTTTGCCTACATACATGTCTAAATAACATGTGTATGCCTGGTGCCTAAGAAGGCCAAAAGAGGGCTTCAGATCCCCTGGAACTGGAGTTACAGACAGTTGTGAGCTGCCATATGGATGTTGGAAATCAAATCCAGGTCCCCTGGATGAGCAGCCAGTGCTTCTGAGACATCTCTCCAACCTTTTTTTTTTTTTTTTTTTTTTTTGGTAGGGGGGGTTGTTGTTGCTTTGATTTTGGGGTTTTTCTTTCTTTTTTCACAATGCAGTGGGGGTAATTACTATTTAAAACAATCCATATTTTCAAAATGACTAGATCAGTACCAAATTCCCAACATGTAAAAATGGCTAATCTTTGAAAAGATAAAAGTTACTTAGATTTGATAACTATATCATACACATGTATCGAACCAGCATCATGCCCCCTGTATAGATATACTAATGTCACAATACAAAATAAAACTTCCATAAACTCAGTATCTTCCCTCACCCAGATCTGTGACTGTTACTTACAGCTCAAGTCTAACAGGTCCTAGAACTCTCATTCTTGATTCATAGCTTTCCTCTACCATCATTGTGATGCACTAAATTCTCTGAATCAACACACTCAAAACAATGAACTAATCTCTTGCCTCCTCTGAACCACACACCTCTATTTCAACTTTCATGGTCAGAATTAAGGTAAAAAGTTTCACCCAACCTTTTGATTTTGGTTTTTTGAGACGGAGTCTATCATTTTGCCCTGGCTGCCTGGAACTATGTGGACCATGGTGGCCTAGAACTTAGAGATCTGCCTGCCTCTGCCTCCCAAGTGCTGGGATTAAAGGCGTGAGCCAACACAACCAGCTTCACCCAATTTCTTGAACTGTTGCACCAATTTGAATTGTTCAATTTGTTGAACCTCTGTCCTTTGGTTCCCCAACTTTCCCACTCCCCTTGAAGCCACATCCTGTCATATCACTTTACCCAAAGTAAAACTAAACTTATTTTTCTCCAAGTACTTAGCCCAACCACTGCAAACTCATTTTTTTTCTTTTTTTTTTCCTTTTCAAGACAGAGCTTCCCTGTGTAGCCCTGGTTGTCCTAGAACTCACTCTGTAGACCAGGCTAGTCTGAAACTCAAGAGATCTGTCTGCCTCTGCCTCCCAAGCACTGGGATTAAAGGCATATGCCACCACACCCAGATGCAAACTCACATTTTAAAACTCTGAAATTTCTTACTTCCTTTATTAATCCCTATATGACCTATTTTTGAGCTTAGATTATTATAAAAAAAACTTTTTCATCATCGCTTACCTATTTCACAGCAAGCCATGACTGCAGTATCATTAACTTCTCAAATTATATCTATATTCATCTTCAATCCATTTTCCCCATGTCATCAATTCTATTCCATTCCCTGACTCTAGCACCTACCTCATCCTATTAACTGGCTTACCTGATTTTACATTACACACACACACATACACACACACACACACACACACACACACACACACACACACACACACACACACACAGAGCTTACCTGTTATGTCTTTAGCCATTTTCCTCTCTACTGACTCCTTCCCTACTCCCTTCACAATCAGTCTTTATATTCTTTTCCTTTTAGTCCTTTGTTTCTCTACTCCAGCTTGTCCCTTGTCTAAAACAAGTACATGCTTAGCAAGGCCTGTAAGGGTCTGAGGTCAGGACTTGGGGGAGCTGCTGTTCTCCAGATCCTGAGACCTCAGCTTTTCCCTCCTTGAAGGGCTGCAGTTATCAGTCCCAAAGCCATTGAGTACTTGTCTATGATGCACTTGAGATATCTTGTGTTCTCTTTGTGAAAAATTGCTTGATTGCCTTCTTGCTGACTTCATCCCATTGTATGATAGTTTCCTGTTGACTCTGTCCCATTTTTCCCTACAAACTGTACATAAGATGCTATACTTCTTAATAACCTTGCTTAGACATAGGCAAGACCTTCTGATCCTAACTTTCCGATCTTCTTTATCTTCTCATCCCCTGGTTTATCCCCATTGAGAGACTGTCACTAAGGAACAACTTGCTGGTCCAGGTCACACTACACTTCCAACACTGCGAAGCAGACATCACCTGGACCAACTGATGCACATGGTACACTAACCCCTCGAGATGGAATTGAAGAAGAAATCAGGAAGCACTCGACTACTTTTTCATGTATTTATTTGGGGGAGGGAGGTCATACATAGTCCAGTGCTCATGTGGAGGTCAGAGAACAGTGATCAGTAGTTGCCTCTCTCCCGCCACCATATGAATTCACATGTCAGTCTTGGCAGCAGGCATCGTTGCCCACTGAGCCATCCCACCAGTCCTCAGCCACTTTGTTATGTTTTATATTTGTAAACAAAACAGAATTACATCAGTTTCTCCCCTCCTCTCCCCCTTCAGCCCTTCTCTGCTACCCTCACCTGAAAGCCACTTTTTCTTTTCTGAAAGCCACTTTCCTAATGAGCCACAGTGTACAAGAGCACACAAAGAATTTCGAAATCCCGAAGGCTTTTGTCTTGTTTTAAATCCAAATTATCTGTTTTTTAGCCATGGAAAATTTTTCCAAAGTAGGGCTAATTAATGTGTAATGGTGGTGAAAGGAGATGAAGCTGCATTGAGAGCCCAGATTTTTAATCCTGACCGTGTTTCTAACGCTAGTTCTTACTAACAGATGCTTAGGGTTCCTAAATCCCAGTTCTACCTATAAATCAGAAATAATAAGTCACTTGTAAGGGTTTTTGAAAGAAAGTTTGTAAAGTTCTTAGTATAGTCAGGCCAAGGGTGCAGACAGCGAAAGTGCAGACCACCAGCCTCATCTTCAGACACTTGCACACTAGATCTCAGACCAAGCTGAAGCTCTGTGAGCAAGTGAGTATGAAGATCGCATTGGATCACTAGTTCCACTGAGTACACGAGCCTCAGGTGATGCAGCAGAGATTCTAAAGAAAATAAGTGGGTCATGATAAAAGAGGGTAATATTACTCTGCTACAAAGTGTTTCCAGGGGCTGGAGAGATGGCTCAGTGGATAAGAGCACTGACTGCTCTTCCAGAGGTCCTGAGTTCAATTCCCAGCAACTACATGGTGGTTCACAACCATCTATAATGGTATCTGATGCCTTCTTCTGGCATACAGGCCTACATGCAGATAGAGCACTCATACACAAAATAAATAAATAGACATAAATCAAAACAAAAATATTTTAAGACTGAGAATGGTGGCATGTCTTTAATCCAAGTACTCAGGAGGCAGAGGCAGGCAGATCTCTAAATTTGAGGGCAGCCTGCTCTACACAGCAAGTTCCAGGACAGCATATTTCTGTTAATATACATGTGAAAAATCAAAAATCTTATTAAGCAACATTTTTTAATGTTCACATTATATAACTAGAGGCATACTGGGAAAACAAAGGCTAGAAAACATTAAATCTCTGAATTGGTCTGATTACACACTACTCTACAGAATGAACATTTCCAAAGGGAAGTCATGAGAAAAAATTCTCCAGTGACATAAATAGCAACGTCTTTTATGAATCTGAGGTCTTAATCCCAAAATTCACTCAAAAAGAGCTTTTTCGGAAGTATAGCTAACATAAATACCAGCGCATTTTCCGATTAGCAACTTTGTACCCTCAAAATTCTCTTTCCAAAAGCATATACATCAAATAAACTATAAAATAAATCAATATAACCAGGTGAAGGGGGTAGATTTTGCCAATGGAAAAAAGGGGGCTAATAACTCGCTATAACACACTAACACATGCAAATGTAATAAGCCAACATGAAACGTATTTATTGAGAAGAAAGTGCATTGAACTGAGATTATGATTATGACTAAAGTTCTGCATTAAAAAAAAAACTCCCAAATGATACTAGGCATTGCATTTTTTATTTTTCTTTCGTTTTTGTTTTTGAAGCAGGGTTTCTCTGTATAGTCTTGGCTGGCATGGAAATCTCTCTGTAGACCAGGCTGGCCTCGAGCTCAGAGACCCGCCTGCCTCTCCCCTCAGTGCTGGGATTAAAGGCCAGCGGCACCACTGACCAAATGATACTAGACACTGCATTTTTCTAGGATGTCAATTTTACTTGAACACAGGGATCAGGAATCTTAAAAACTGATTCGTGGAGACATGCATACAAAAACACCTTTTATGTCTTGCATAATTATACTTTCAAAGGCAAAGAACAGCTAGTATCTTTAAAATACACAGAGAAAAAGCTAAGCATAGTGGCAGACACCTACAATCCAAGCCCTGGGAAAGACTGAGACAGGAGACTGGGCTCCAAAGCTGCATGGTGACAACCACTCCTCCAAAACATAAGACAAAAATACTGATAAGATCGATTGCATATGAAGAGATCTCTCGATTTCCATTCTGTTAAGCCAAGTTCTCAGAGATCTGTGCTCACCTCCTTCCATTCTCCAGTAAAAGTTTTACACACACATTGCCACTAGGCATACATAAATAGATTTGGAACTGTTAACACTAGCTCTACAAAAATGAACAATAAAATAATAAATTTTTAAATGGGCTGGGCTGAGCCAGCCAGTGGTGGCTCATGCCTTTAATCCTAGCACTCTGGGAGGCATAGGCAGGCAGATCTCTGGGAATCCTAGGCCAGCCTCCTCTACAGAGCAAGTTCCAGGACAGCCAGAGCTACACAGAGAGACACTGTCACGAAAACTAAAGAAAAAAAAAAAATGGGGGCTTCTGAGCTGGCCTGTAACCCCAGCATTCGGGGGTGAGGAGTGGGTGGGGGATTGAGAATTTGATGCCATCCTGAGTTACACAGGGAGACCCTTTCTCAACAAAAAAGGAGGAAAAAAAAAATCAACGAATCCATCGATGTTATTTTATGTACTAGACTGAATTTCTATGCACACGGGACTTGACTCAAGGACTTAAGAGGTGCACTTAACAGATGACGTGCATAACAATAACTTGACTGGGCGGAGCTCTACATCAGTTTTATACAAAACTTAAGAGGATCTTGAGTTTCAAGCTTTGAAATAATTACCAAAAAAAAAAGAAATGTGCTGAGAGTAAAAACAACAAAAGCCCGGCTTCGAATCCTTTGACTTTCGAATCACTTTTGGAAGATGCAGGAGGCTGGAAAACAAAAATGCTATTAAACGAGCCTGTTCGGACGAAAAGGGGACACCAGGCACATTTACTTGAGGACCCGCAGGGCGATCGGCAAGCCCCGCCTTCCTTCCGTGCAGCCTCTCCTACCTGCCAGGGGAAGGGGGGGGGGGGGGGGAGTAGTGGAGGGGGGGGCAGCCAGCCAGGCAAGAATTCAAAGGCACGGAGCAAAGTGAGATCGAGTGCGGAGTAGGTGGAAGCGAAAGTGAACGCGGGTGGAATTACGAGGAAGGCGTGGCAGGTCCGCGGCTAGCCAACGGGGAAGATCCGTGCGCCGGAGACAATCCAGGAGAGTGTCCCGGGAGGAGGGAGCACACCACGGGGGTGCAGAAGGGGCAGGCTGCGGCAGAGGCTCCTCCGACGGCTGCGGTCGCGCCCGCGCGGCCCCGGAGCTCTCCATTACGCGCGCCCCCGCCGCTCCCTCCCTCCCTCCTTCTCTCCCTCCCTCCTTCCCTCCCTCGCTCGCTCGCTCCCCACCGCGCCTCGGGGCCGCCGCCAAGCCGCGCAGGTAGCACGGGCCGCTGGGCCCTCGCGCAAGCCCTCCTCACCGGCCGAAGATCGCCGACGCCCAGGCCTGGCCCTGTCCATCTCCTCCTCCTCCGGCTCCTCCCGTCGCACTTCCAGGCGCTGTCACCTCAGGACCCCTCGGGCTGGGGAAGGGAGGGGGAGGGGAGAGAGAAAGCCAGAAGTGAGATTCGCGCGTGCGCACGAGCAGTCGCCTCCCTCCGACCGGAAGTCCCTTGCCCCGCCCACCTCTGCCCGAGGTAGCACTTCCCGGGCCTTGTTTTCCCGGAGGGCTGCCACCCCTAGGAGCGCCTTCGCCTTCGCAGTGGGGGATTGTCACCGACAGTGTCGCTAAGGGAAGGCGAGGCTTGGTGTACGTTTTTTTTTTTTTTTTTTTTTTTTTGGTTTCTCGAGACAGGGTTTCTCTGTGTAGCTTTGGAACCTGTAGCCCAGGCTAGCCTCGAACTCACAGAGATCCTCCCGGCTCTGCCTCCCGAGTGCTGGGATTAAAGGCGTGCGCCACCATCGTGCGGCTTGGTGTACGATTGTTAACCTGTTGACCTTAAAGCTGAGGTCGGCAGAAATGAAATATGCTGAGTTCCTCCAGTTACCTACCGCCTTTCACGAAGTGGCCCCAGAAGTAGAGAAGTCAGTCTGTGGTTATTTCCAGCTCTTTGTCCTCCAGAAGCCTACTCACACTTAGAACAGGAACAGCAAAATATAGTTGTTCTTATTATTTTTTGATGTAAGAGATAATCAGATAGGAGTCTTTTCTATCAAAAGCTGTAAAACTTGTGTTTAGGACTGTTAGGCCTCAGGAAGTCCGCATATATCTAGAAATAACAGTGTTGGCCCAGCAGTTAGATTGATTGCTGGCAGTTAGATAAAAGCCAGCATTCCTCCGAGTCATTTCCCTTGCCTGGCAGATGGGGCTTACAGCTCTCCATTGATACAGATGTGTGTGTGTGTGTGTGTGTGTGTGTGTCTGTGGTTGAACATCAAGTCCATGCTAGCCTATAGCACAGTCCCTATTCAGCAGTATGCTAGGCCCCCAGGCTGTCCCCGATCCCCACTCTATAACACCAAAGTCTCCCCCCTCTGCCTGTTATCTGTTGCTATCTCACTGTCTCCACTCTTCTCTCCACTGTTCTCTCATTTCTCACAGATAGCCCTGGCCATGTCCAGACCGCTTCTATTTTTCTCAGCTCTGGACTCCTCCAGATGCTTCTGGATATTTCCTCCCTTCTCCACAATTAAAAAAAAAAAATTATCGTGAAGCAGCCATGTCAGTTACTATGCCCTATACGAGGGCAAGGAATTTAAATCCTTTTTTTTTTCTTTCCCACCTCGTAAGACTTTTAGACAAATGCTTTAATCTTCCCGCCCATTTGAAGTCAGAAATTGTATGTATTTCAGGAGTCTGATGGCAGGAGGCTGTGGCTCCCCTCCCCCCTCTTCCTTCATTTCCTGTGCGCCAATTCTTTTCAGAATAGCCACTAGAGTTAAGACTGTGAGGTCAGCCCCCAACCAATGGGAAGACACAGGTGACTACCTGGGTTAGAATAGAGATCAAACCCACTTTCTGTCTCAACAGGTTTGCTCTTGATGAAGACTCAAGTTTGCCCAGTCACTTCAGTTAGAATGGTGGCCTCTTTCTTTGCCACCCTGAACCTGTTTCTAGCATTTGAGACCGGTCTCAGTGTGCAGCCATGGGTGGCCTGGAACTGACGGAAATACTCCTGCCTCTGGAGAGCTGGGATTAAAGATGCGCGGCACCTGGCCTGGCCAGAAATTTTAAAACAAAAATCACCCAATAATGAGTATTTGTATTTGTGCATTAAGTATTTGTGATGGATAGTTTTATGTCAACTTGACTAGAGTTGTCTGAAAGGAGGGAACCTCCACTGAGAAATTGCCTCCAATAAGATCAGGCTGTATGCCTGGCGGTGGTGGTGCATACCTTTAATCCCAGCACTTGGGAGGCAGGGGCAGGTGGATCTCTGTGAGTTCGAGGCCAGACTGGTCTACAGAGTGAGTTCCAGGACAGGCTCCAAAGCTACAGAGAAACCCTGTCTGGAGAAAAAAAAAAAGATACAGCAGTAAGCAGCAGCCCTCCACCGCCTCTGCATCAGCTCCTGCCTCCAGGTTCCTGCCCTGTTCTGACTTCCTGTATGCTGATCAATGATAAGGAAGTGTAAGCCAAATAAACCCTTTCTTCCCCAAATTGCTTTGGTCATGGTGTTCACAACAATAGAAACCCTAAAACAGCGGGGGGGGGGGGGGGGGGGGGGGGGGTGGGCAGCACCTTTAATCCCAGCACTCTGGAGGCAGAGCCAGGCGGACCTCAGGACAGGACAGGCACCAAACCTACACAGAGAAACCCTGTCTCAAAAGAACAAAAAACAAAAAAAAACAACAAAAAGTCTCTAGATAGATAATTCTTGATTCATTAACATGTCTAGATTCAGAGATATCAAGAGTCCAAAGTAAAGGAGATAGTTGAAGAATAAAGACAGATGCCAGGCTCTCTTCCTGGTTTTTTTAGTTACCTTCTGGGCCCAATTAAGAAGTTAATGTTTTCTAGCAGTTTTGAAGTGCCTGCTACAGTCTAAGCCAACTTGTAGTCTACTTTCTATCTTAATAAATGTGTCAGCTCTAGAGCCAAGTCCTTTTTGACTAGCTTATATCATCTGACATAATGTTATCAAGGTCCATTCATATCATATTATATATTAGAAGATTATTTTTGTGATTGGAAAATACTAGAGCTCCAACTCTGAACTCTTTACAGATTATTTAGGTTGTGTAGGACTCATTCAGTACTATAAGAATTTGAGTTTGGCTTTGTTAAAGTAGCTAGAACACATTAGTATGTTTGGAGGCCATTGATGAAGGACCCTAATAGGTTTTCTGTAGCTCGAAAAATAGGTTTCTCCACCAATGCAGTAAGCCAGATCAAGCCAAATTGAAAAAAAAAAAATATATAACAACAGGTTTATTTGAGCAAAGCACCTCCCGGGTAGGTGTGAAGATCTAGACACCTCCAAGCTTCAGCTGCTGACTGCACTGCTCCAGACAACTAAGAGCTCCGGACTTGCTAAAAGCTGACGTGGACCAGCCCGGCCAATGTGATTGTTCCCTGTCTCTACAGGGTCAGAGAGACACATGCTTCTGACAGATGCCCCATTGCCCAGCCTTTCAGCCTTTTGGGGCCCTGACAACAGCACCCCAATGCCAGCTCAAAGCAGTTCCAGAAGAGAATACATCATCCCATGTTCCCTGTTCAGAAAAGGCCGAAATGCTGGGTCAAAAGGAAACTCCCTGGCATAGAGGCAAGATGGCCATCTATAATGCTCATTGACATACTAGGAAAATAGGTGCAGAGTTGTCAGTTGATAAGTTTATTAACTGAAATGGTTCTGCAATAAGATAAGACCTTCTCTATGCAGAACCAAAGAGGTACTGGTTGTACTCAAAGATCAAAACTAAAGGGCTTTAAGAATGGCAACAGAGGGCTGGAGAGATGGCTCAGTGGTTAAGAGCACTGTCTGCTCTTCCAGAGGTCCTGAGTTCAGTTCCCAGCAACCATATGGTGGCTCACAACCATCCATAATTCGATCTGGTGCCCTCTTCTGGCCTGTAAGCATACATGCAGACAGAATACTGCATACATAATAAATAAATAAATAAATAAATAAATAAATAAATAAATAAATAAATTTTTTTTTAAAAAAAGAATGGCAATAGATACAGATGTTACTGACCCTCCCCCTGCCAAAAAAAAAATCTGTTAATGGCTCTTAGGTCCCAATACCCTTGAACCTCTGGACAGGTAGGACTCATTATTGAGTCCTGTCATTGGTACTTGTAAAGGGGGGAATGTGAAGGCCTAGAATTGACTCTACAGGCTCCATTTTAGGGAAAGAGCCACCATCTCAGACCACCTGCTGTACTCAGTTCCAGGAAAGACCTCAGGAATGTGCCATGACAACTCGAACAGATACAGAGTAGTATCTTCCTGCAGACATCCTATCTACAGTTTATGGTACTTGAAGATATCTAGATAATCCTGCTGAACAGTCCAGATAATCCTGTTCAGCAGGTTGTGGTTCCCTGTCAAAAGTCTAACCCAATAATTTCAAATGTGGTTTCATGCCCAAAGTCTAGACCAATAGTTTCAAAAAGTCACCTTGCCCCATATCCCTTCTACCCAGTCCCAAGTTGCCAATTTCCAGCTTGTGGTTTTTCCCTATAAAAACCCTCTACACCTGGGCTCGTGTCCACCACCACATTTCCTTCCATCTGCCATGCAGTGGCCCAGGTTGAACCTGAATAAAAGGACCCTTATGTGCTTGCACCAGAAACCAGCTCCTTGGTGGTCTCTGGGGGTTTCAAGAAATGGGTACAACATGAGTTCTTGAGTCCCAGAGATTGAGGCTGGAGAAGGCACATGCCTTAACTAAAGCAGGGAGCTTATATAGGTTGTAGGTAAGGGGGTGATAATGTGTCCTTCTTTTTGGTGCCTTCTCTTTGTTGGAGAATCTCTGAGAGGGCACAGTTTGGAGGGAGAGAGACAAGAATGAGGCCTCCTGGATCAAGCAGGAGTGAGCTGGAGGTTTCAACCTAACAGACCCATTCATCATAATTCACTTTGGACTCTACCTTCTATTTATCTGGTAATACTAGAAAGCAAAGCATCACAATTGTTCCTCTGTGAGAGTCAAAGTAACGTTTTAAGTTTTAATTACTATACCTTAGAGATCCATAAAACAAAAATTCCTCTGATCTGCAAGCCCCTTGCCCAAGGACAGATAGTTCCTGAAATGTTGGAGACTATTTTTTTTTTGTTTTGTTTTTTGTTTTTTGGTTTTTCGAGACAGGGTTTCTCTGTGTAGCTTTGCGCCTTTCCTGGAACTCGCTTTGGAGACCAGGCTGGCCTCGAACTCACAGAGATCCACCTGGCTCTGCCTCCCGAGTGCTGGGATTAAAGGCGTGCGCCACCACCGCCCGGCTGGAGACTATTTTTTATGGGACATAACAAGCCACGTGTTTTCACTCCCCTAAACAAGTTTGTTTGACTCATCTGTACCGGATGTGCTTGATCACATGTGGGCGTGAGATTCACAGGCAGGAAATACATCAGGAT